GATGCTAAATTTAGTTGAAAAAATTGTGCTATTATTTTGAATAAATTTAAAAAAATAAAAATAAAATATGCAAATTATAAAATCATAAAAGATATTACTAACAAGATTGAAAGTAATTGCGTGATGATGACCTAAACATAATACTTTTTGGAGGAAACAAGAAATTTTTTTTCTTCATTTTTCTCAAAAACATTTTTATAAGCAATTGTAATCATTAAACATAGAATTGTTAAATTGGATGTTTATTGATGCTCGCATGTCTGAACTATCTATCATTTTAATCTTTTGATGATAGGATTAAGCAAACATTGCTCTGAGATTACAATAAAAATTGCCTTTTCTTATTAACACTTCCTTCATCTCCCATTAACACTACTCTTATCATAACTTCATTGCGCTATCAGCAAAACTGAAAACAAAATACCATTCGTTATCATTTGTTATTGCAAAAAACTATCAAATCCGCTAACTAAAAAATTCATAACATTTTGATATTGCTTTATTTTATTTTTATTTTTTTTAATAAATGCTACAATTATGATATAATCGTTTAAAATTAGGCATTTTTTTTTCATATGAAAATAATAATGCCAAGTACTAAATTTTAGAAATTAAATGCCAAAAACTTAATTTTAGAAATTAAGTAATTTTTACTTATTGCAAAGTTTTAATCTTTATATAAGAATAATATTTGATAATACAAAATGATCAAAATATAGTAATTTAGAAAATTAAAACTTTATTTTTAATATCATAATGAAAAAATTTTTAGTGATTTAAAAATTTTTGTTAGTTTTAGCAAATGCGCGTAATAATTTAATCTACAGCAATCAGTAACTAAATACAGAAGTACTATTTTCTACTTAAATTTTGATTAATTTAATTCAAGACAACATTGGCCTTACAGTTTTTGTCTAAATGCATTAAAAATAATTTCCTGTTTTTCATTAATAATAATGATAAAAAGGAAAGATTGAAAATTTTAATCTTTTTGAAGCTGATAAATAAAAATTCTTTAAAAAACAAATTTGAAGAACGGGTAATTTGCTTCGGTTTATTATTTCTTGCAGTATCTAATAAAATATTTTAATTTTAGTTTTGCAAGATTTTCGCCGTCATTTTAAATGCCTTTTAACGCTTACTTCTTATTTAAGTGGTATATTTGAAAATGAAACTTCTAAGAAATATTTAAAATAAAAGTTTGAAGAAACAAATAATCTGAATTAAAGTTTAGAAAAAAATGATATGAAAAAATTTTTATTAAAAAGCAAAGTAATTCTAAAAGTTTAAATTCAAATTATTCTTAACTTATGAAAAATCAAATTAAAAAAAAAACCTTCCTTTTTCGATATTCTTTTCTTTTTTCGAATATTACTGACAAAATTTGAGGCACAACTGATTATTTATTTTTTAAATAAATAATCATCACAGCTCATATACTTTCACACTTTTTTAAAATACATAATGACATGTGCAAAATTATAATCAAATTGATGCTTTAAAAAAAGCATTAAAAAAAACAAACAAAGTGGATTAATATATTTAAATAAAAAAATCAATTGCAAAGATTAATTTCTGATTTGAAAACTAAATGAATTCAGTAATCCAAATAGATTTATTCATAATAATAGCAAGTTCAGTAGAGTTAATTGCAATAAGTTGGACAGCATTTTTAATTAAAAGTTAAACTTTTTAGTGAAAATAAGGCTAAATTAGCAATTTACGTTTCAAAAAAGGGAAAGAGCTTTTTATGCAAAACTATATCTCAGTACTTTTAGACAGAAAAAATGACATATTTCATTGCCTTGTAGTTCAAATTCTATTAGCTCTTGTCACAAACAATTATAAATTCATTTAATTGCAAATTGAAAGTTCGCATGAAATGAGTTCATTTTAATAAATTAAATCTATTCTATGTATTGCAAGCTCAGCTGTCATTGTATACAAATCGTATTATTCTTTACATGATAATGCTTTAAAATAATCAACAATGTTGTAAAAGTTAATCAACAAAAGAAGGCATAAATTTGGCAACAAAATTTAAATTTATTACTACTTAATAATAGTTTATTTATGTCATAGTACTTTGACACATTATAAAATAAATGAATTCAATATTTATCTCTATTTCTCTGAGTATAATTTCTTAATTTACTTAATTCTTTATATCAGACATTTTTACTATTGGTTCACTTGCACTGAATTTATTATTTAATCGTGTTTTAATATTAAAATTAAATTAAAAAAATTACTTGTAAAAGACAAAAAAATTAAAAATGATCCATAAGTACGCAAATTTTTTTAATTATTAATAATCAATTGTAAATTTTATCAAGCAAATTTTCATGATTCTTATAAATGCATATCATTTTGCCAAATACTCATACATAATAAAAACATTTTTAAAAAATTTGACAAAAAAAAAGCTTTTTCAAGGACATTATTTTGCATACTGAATTTAATTTGAAAAATTGTTGATACTGAAAATAGCATAGTTATAGAACACTTTTTAACGTCATGAAATTATAAAAGTTTACTTAACAAGCTACTTTTTTCTTCTTATTTTATTCAATTTTTTATTTTCCAGAAAAATTTACATTATCTATTATTATTATTATTATTATTATTATTATTATTATTATTCGTAGATCTTCATAGCATGTATCAAAAATAGTAACAAATATAAAAATGGAAATTTCAAAAATCTGAAAATGAGATGGCTTGCATTTATGTAACTTTAATGCAATCTAAACAAAATATGTTTCATTTTTTTGCAAAATTGGCACCAAATACAAAAACTAAGCAAGTTTTGTATTTATAACAAATACCTCATACAATAAAATGCTTTATTGAGACTACAAAAAATAACTATTTTTAATTATTTTGCAATATAAAAGATTCATCTGTCCCTCTATAATTATCTTTTGCTTCAGAAACACATTGTTGCAGTAATGGAACGTTCAGAATATTTCTTCGAAACACATTAGTATTCAGTGCTTATCTGTCATCGACTCTATTCGCAATCATCATCTCTAAGAAAAACAAGAAATGATTCATTTCTTCTAAAATTATTTTTTCTACAAAATAGTGTTTGCTATTTAAATTTTTATGATCAATTCTATCAATTTTAAGAAAAATAAACTATATTATTTTATCACACAAATTATTTAAAAAAAAAAAAAAATTAAGTGCTAATCTAAAAATGCTCATATTCATCTCTATGGGATATTATAATG